GTCAACAGCGCGAGCTTTTAAGAATTCATCCGATGGACGCAGATTGTGATCTCGTTTTGTACCGCGAGAGATCCTATTCCTATTACTCCTAACAACAACAACAAAACCTTCAATCATGTGTTATCGTAAAGCGTTATTTTTTATATTTAAAATTCGTCAAGGGCAAGTGCAACTGATATTATTTAGATAGTCTACTGTTTTAGTCCACAATAAAGTGTTTACAAGTTTATATTTGTATTAGGCCTATTTTCAATATTTTGAGCTTCACAGACACTCAGTGTTGAAAAAACTGGACATTTATTTTGACTTAAATCTAAATGCAATGGATACGAGTGAATTTGCATTAATAAATCGTGACATTATTAGTAATATCACTTGACAAACTGAATAATGATTTAAATTGTGCATTGTGGGAACTGTATTCTGTTTTACAACGCTATTTTCGAATTCAAACATTCAGTTGATCTAGCGAGCAGTAGCCTAATCAGTTCAATTATCTTCAAAATATTTACTTTAGGACAAAATTTGTCAGCTAGATAAAACCGGAAAAATCTCATTACCCCATGAATCTATTTTCCGGGCGGTTTGTCGTCGTTATTGCCTGATTTAGTGTTAGTATCCTTGTTATTCAAAGAGCGGCGTTGCAGCTGAATCTATTTAAATGTATCAGCCAGATTTGTGTTGAGTTTGTCACTTTAGGTGTTTTTAGATTTCGTCTTCGCTTCGCTGGGAGCAATGCGGCCAGATTTAATGACCTTAGTTTTATTCATAATCTCCTCCCTCCTGTTGCAGGTTTCCTAGAAAATTGCTTTGCGTTTCACGAACTATAACAATGCTCGGGTTTTCTCATCACACATTTAACGAGATTTCCAGATAGACAATATGGCTAAATGGGCAAAACCGTAAAGATTGTTTTGGAATTATTATTATTTTTTTGTTTCCTCCATATTGTCATAATGTGGAGGTTAAATGTACAAATTCATATAGGCTAGGCTACTCTATGTGTTCTCGCTTAATATAAAACTACACTTATCATTCCATTTATAGGGATTTTATATGATGGATATGCAATCCTATTTCATAAATCCTTCTCAAATAGGCTATACATCATTAATTACATATATAATTGAACCTTAATTTGCCTATATATATATATGGAGTACTCTTATCTGATAACGAGAACTGTGATAAAAACTTCCAATTGTCAGCCGGATAAAAATTTCACTTCAGTCATAATATCACTCCTTGAGGTGCCCAGCATGCAGCTTTATTCCAATGCATGCACTGGGAAAGAACACCTGGAGGTGCGCAGGCCAAATTAGCATGGATTAAGATTGGGATGGTATCCTTTTAGTTATTGGCAAGATGGGGGATGCTAATTATAAGAAATTGCCATGGGTCCTGGTCTCAGTGGATACTCGAATGCCCCCACAATGGTATAAAACACCCAGCGATGTAGCATTTGAAATTATAATGTAAATGGACCGAGTCACCAGGGAAAACAGGCAAAAGGGAAACCTAATTCTCTGCTTGATGTCTTGCTTTACATTGCTTACTCTGCCTCTGCATGGGCCCAATTTATGGGAATGGACTCATATCTACCCACTGTTGGATGGTAAGGAATGTCACTTGATAGGACAATATATTTCAAATGAGGTATGCTTATAGAAAATGAAAAATATAGGATCTAGATAGCTTTCAACACTGATATAAGGGGTAGAATAGGCTATATAAGTTCACAACCATGAGAATAAACCATATGCATATCTTGCAATTATATCAAGAAGCAAGATTTTTAAAAAATCTGATTACCTCATTCATGAGAATATAATTGCATAATGCATATTTCTCCGCACTCAATTGCTTGAGAACTTGGATGGCTTCCAAGTCCAGGCTTTCATTGTGCTTTTATTGTCCATGAACAAAACTTTGATTTGTGCAATGCACAGCTGTTTATCAATAGCAGTTACATGGAAATTACGTTAGAAATCGAGACATACTGACATTTGTATTCAATTCAAACTAATCAGCATTGCAGATATTTTCCATGACAAATTGATCTGTTTTTTGCTTCCTTTTAGGTATTAACACTCCACAATTGTTAAGGGGCAACTAGGGTTAAGAAAAGAAGGTAAGAAAAAAAAATGCACAGAAATGGATCTAAAACCAACAGTGCAGAAGCACAGCAGCTCTTCTTATGATGAGGAGGATGATCTCAGAGGAAGGCAGTTTTTTTCCAGAGGCACGAGGCATATGTCTGACCTAACTGATCACAAAAAAACACTGATTTTTTCCATTTATGGAGTGGAATTTTGGACTGAATATAATCTGTCCCAGCTCATCATTTAGGCATTACTCAATTTTGTGATGTTTTACATCACTGTCTGCAAAAGAAATTCCCATCCAACTCATTTGATAATCTAGTGTTCAACTTGTTGATGGAGTAAAATGGACCCCCAAAACGTCATGTTCATTAGGTGTCTCTACACACATAAATCAAGTACAATCAACTTGGATGTTTAAGTCATTTCAACTTAAATTATACTTTTAAAAATATGTGGAATCTTATATATCTCAACTTAAAGTTGAAAATTGCTTAACTTATTTTGATGAGTTAAAGCAATATAAAAAACGTTGTCAATATATTGATCATATATTTGACGTCGCGATATTACGAGTATAAAAACTGCATAAGAGCATTGGATTTAGCTTAAGCACACAAGAAATATCTGCCATTTCACACAACCAAATAGAGTCAAAATTATCTTTAATTTTAATTTGCATGCTGTAAGCACAAAAAATAATACACATCAGCCTATTGGTATAGGCTAAAGCATGATTTGATTGGCCAGTCAAAACGCCAGCGAAAAAAAACAATATTTTCTGTGCATTAAAAAAAAAAAAAATCACTCCATTAATGTCAGTCATGTAGGTGCAATGAATAGTGTTTACTGTTGTCCTTTTTTCTTGACAAGAAAATGACAAATGTGCTCTATCCATTCATATAATTTTGTTGTATTATGCAGGTGTCAGTCTTCGCTTTATGCTATTGGTCCCTGTCAATATCTAATCTCAGAGTCTGAACTATATATCTCTCTCTCTCGACACGGTTACGTGGAGGCTATAGTCTTTCTTAGTGCCTCTGAATGCTGCGGTTGGTGTGTCTTAATGAAAATAACGAAACGTATTTTGTTGCACTCACACACGGAGTCTTTTAATTTAGGATTAAGTGAAAATAACCAAAGGTCTTTCTGCCTGACGCGCCTTGAATACATTGAATATCGAACACCGTCTTGTCGCGTTGAGCAAAAATGAATTTCTAACACAAGACGTAGCTGTCGACTTTAAGCAAACTGCATCCAATCACCCCGAGGGAATTCAACTAATGTCGTTTGAACAAATAAAACCACACACACACACGCAAGCTTATTAAATTACTTCATAATCACCAAAAATCCACCTCCAATGAAATGACGATTAGTACGATAAATATTTTGTCAGGTGTTTTCACAAGTCAGGAAAGCTTTTGCTATGGATAAATTACCCACATGAGTGATTCTGTGCTCATGATGAATTAAAAGGCCTTCACGATTTTTTTTTAAATCAAAGTAGCCTACATTTTTGCTTTGATTGGCCACTAATTATTACAAGAGCAAAACCCACAAGCATAAAATTATCTTCAATATTCAGCAACAACAAAAAAACATCTTCAGAGCAGAAAAAAAAAACAATAGCTACGTCGATTATTCGATGCTCATAAAACAAGTTATTTAGGCGCCCGGTAAAGGAAAACGGTCCCAATGTAATACTTTTTATTCAGAATATCATATTTTTCTGTCACTCACAAACATTTCAACAACATCATCATCATCAACAACAACAACAGCCACAGCATAGCCTAAAGAGAGTGACAGAGCATTAAGTTTGCAGTAGTAGAAGTTAATGTTTAAATAGGCTTATGTTTAAGGGGGCTCCCCTTGCTTTCCTCTCTCTCTCTCACACACACACACACGCTTGGAAGCAGAGGGTCGGCGTAAGGGAAAGCTGGCTGGACAGATTTACGTTTCCGCCTGATCGCGCTCTGGAGTGCAGGCCAGTGGAGAGAGGGAGAGACAGCACCTGGCCCGGCTTTAGCATCCCCATCTCGCTTTATTGACAGCCTGATAAGCGGGGCCAGACCGTGCGGTTTCCAGTGGAGATCTCAAGAACTCTGCTGGGTTGCACCGGATTCACGGGATCTAAACGATGGCAGCACTTGATTCTCGTGCTCTCCTTTTTGAAAATGTGCATTGGCCTACTTTTATGAATCTGCCGTGATCTTTAGTACAAATCAATTACCTTTATAGTCTTTAGACTACAATTAACAGTTACGTAGCTACTGCATTGCTCCTTGATTCAATAACACGCTCCCAACGGCGGAATTAGCCATTTTAATTGGCTTTCTTATATATGCACAACTGACAACATAAAGCGTTTGTGTTATTACAGTTCCATATCAATTCTATAACATAGAGGCAAATAGGGGTCCCATGACATTAAACGTCATTTGTGTTGTCAATCATAAATAATTAAAAGAGTAATAGCAAACATGATGAGTTTTAAGTTGTGATATTTTCTGCTGGTGACAGTTTTTAAACAGCATTATTGCTGTTTAAACAGCAAACAGCAATATTGAATTGCAATATTGCACGTGCATTTTATTTTAAGCCTATTTTTAATAGGTCGATCAAAACAAAAAGTGCTCCTTTGTGTTTTAAAGAAATCAGGCAACTGGCAACACAATTAATAACTCACTAATTCAGACATTCTTTTCATGATGGGTGGTTTAAAATTGTTACATTTAAACCCATTAAATCGGGGAACCTCAAAGAAACTTCTTATGACTGTTAAACGCACACAGCAGACAGCCGTTCCTTCAACTTCCCGGTTTGGGGAATGATAAATGGCGTCAATTGTGACGTGGGCCGTCACTCTAGCCAATCACTGCCAGGTTGTGGTTAATATTTAGAGAAAGTTGATGGTGAGACGAGGACGTCTTTTTTATTCCGAACCACGTTTAAAGTGAGGTATTTTGAACTCGTCAAGACAACAGTTAACGTGCGACGTTTGCGTGTGTCGTAAGAAACAAGAGGGAGAGTCCAAAGTTGGACCTGCTTTCATCTGTTAAATAGGCTAGTATTTTCATCAATACTACAAAGAGGGGTTTACAATCTCTCACAACTTTTCCCGTGGTTCCCTTTTCGGCTTGTTGGACTGGATATCGTTTACTTTGGGAGTAAGTTTTGTGAAACGGATCCGGACCGGAGGGGTGCTTTCTAGACACTCTTTACGCTTTTCTCGTTTGGAAACGTTCCCCTCATAACGAAATCACTCACAGGCTATAGCGTTTATTGAGGTAAGTTTACGACGTTCTAAATTCTTCTTTTTCCATTGTTGCGCTGACATCATTTTGGGCTCTGTTAATCTCGAGCAATAACAAATAGCGATTGGCATGCAGCAATGTATTTGCCCTAAAGCTATGCCGTGAAATTAATTTATTCTTCTTCAATACTCAATAGTCGTTTTTGACACAATGCCAAAAATTGCTTTTTGTGCAATTTGTATACAGGCGATCCTCACGGGGAATGATTATGAGAAATATGTAATCGGTCAGATGAGAGTAAACATCATTAAACCAAATAACTAACAACCTTTTCATTATTATAAAAACATGGGACCTCACGCGTCTGTAAAGATTAATTTAATATTTTATAATTTAAATAGCCTATTATAATAATATTTAATAATTTAAAAACAAAATGTTGAAAACGAATTTGAAGTATTATATAGGCCTACCTTCGGAAAGTTACAGAATAAAATTATAAATATATACCATTGGCTAAAATAAAGATAAATAAGAGATAAATTAATACATGATCTTTTAATAATATTGTATTTGCCATAAAGGAATAGGCTATTTTATTTAAGATATTAAACTTCCCATAATACAATACAACTCTTCCCATTAAGAAGAATTAGTGTAGTTAGGAACTGTATAGCCTATGCATATAAATGTAAGGGAATAAATATTTTAACCACCATCAATGGCTACTATGTAAATTACACAATTCGGTGTGGCTACCGATAAAACAGTCGTTAGATTAACATTCATTTTAAGGTATTAAATTTCCCATTTGACCTGCAATGCATAAACTTTGCCCTGAATGTAGATTACACGTCCCATATACTCTGTCACACTGAAACACATCATGTTATCGAAATAATTTAAATCTTCACACCAGGCTGGCGGGTTCTCTCTTGTGCAGTAGCCATCAGTAAAAGAAAGAACGGAAATAAGAATTAAAATGATCAGCCCAATACAACTTCTGTCTATTATAGCATAATGAAATGAAATAATGTGTAACTTGCTTCTTTTAGAAATTGGAGTTTTACATATCAGGCCCTTTGCCAGTGTGGTGGTCTGTCGCTGTGGGCAACCACACACACACACACACACACACACACTCTAGCAAGTCCCCTCCCCCAGAACATGGTGACTGGATGTGGTGCTTGCTCTGGCCGATAAACTTTTCCCACATTGCCTTAAAGAGCCACTCTTTCTCTAGTTCTCTCTCTCTCTATCTCTCTGACGTCAGCTGCATTCAGTCCTGTCCCCGCCCCTTATTATTAGTTTTTTTTTCCTCCCCGTTGAAAACTTTTAGGGAGAGGCGAGGCACCGTCTATTTTGCCTGAGGGAAATAACGACAAGATTAGGTTCTTATTCATGACCAAACACCACTGACTGCTAATCCGAACTGTGCTAATTGATGGGAGGACTACATGAGTCCATCCGTGTGAAAAGTCTCGAACTAGTCAAATATTTGATTTAAACAGGTTGAATCTTTAAAAGCTGCGTGGTTAAACGATAGCGTAAATAGGCGACTCTTTCTCCAAAAGGATGTTTTTATTTAGGCTACTTTATATAGCCTAGGCCTTATCTTAAAAGTAAACTTTCCAATTAGAACCTAAATGGTTTTACAACATGATGTCATGGAATCATCCATAAAAACTTTTAATTTAACGTTAAAAACAAATGTTTCTGAACAACAGCTAACGAAATATGAATTAACTTTTTTAACTTTTTAAAACAATAGCTAAATTTAAGACCTCTGATTCTCAATAAGATTATTTGCAAAACCCAGTTGCTTAAAAAGAACTTTAAGTGATTAAAACGGATTTATTTTAAGAACAACCATCACTTGGCTTGCTACGAATATTTTAAACAGTATGGGGTTGTACACACACACCAATAACAAACGTTGGAATCAGTGCAGTAGAACAACGTGTTGCATAAAGAGGTGAATCCTTCACCAGCAAAAAGTTGAAATGGTGAGGAGAGGGAAAATATCGTAAAATATCAAACGGCGAGGAGGGGTCGCACCGCAGGACCCGAGATGACAGTGCATGACGGTCGCGCCAGCTCATTATCCGACTCCCATTCAAGCGGCCTTTCATTGCGATGCAGACTCTTTGGCAGTGTCGTTTGTTTCCTCATTGTGCTATAGTGGGGAATGCAATGGTTGTCAGAGCTCGCATTCACTTTCGCGATAGTTTATTGATGAGCTCCGACTTTTAGCACTTTTCACATGTCAAAACGAAGTCAAGTGTATGCAACCACAGCTTAATTTTATGCTCCGTGCGTCCCAACACATTTTGTCTCTCTTTAAAGCTGTCCCACCATGCTATACTACGTCCCCCCCCTCCCCTTCTCCAGTTCTTGTATCCCAACCCGGAATCTATTCCACTCCAGTGAACGGGTGGAACACCCCAAGCTGCGAGTGGCGAGCTGAGAGTGCAGCACATGTAACCTCGAACACAGGCGCGGAGGGGTTGCTTTGGGGTGTACCGAGGTGTGTGCTAATGTCCAAGCAATCAACAAATGTAGTTTAAGTGTCCGGCCATGAACGTAATGATATTTTCATTTCCCCCTTGGCAACCCACGACACGGAGTTTCTTTTTCTCCCGCTGAAAAACGACAACAAATCACGCTATTAATGTAAATAGTATGGGGTCTCCCAACTGATCACTGAGCGCGCGCCCTAAAGTCTGATGACATTCTCAGACACCAAGTCAACAATGACACGTGGAGAAAGTTTGCGCTCGTTTCGGTGGACAAGACTAGCGTAAACTAACACAATATTAATGGGGTTAAGTATATAGAAGCATGCAGGCAACACTTAAGAAATTATGGTTAGGCCTACATTTTATTTTAAGGTGTCTTTACACTGTAGCCTAATTATACATTTAAGTACTGATTAATATTACTACACTGTAAACAAATCAATAAGTTATGACAACATGTTTTTACATTGCTTTAACTCACCCAAATAAGTTAAGCAATTTTCCACTTTTTTATGATAAACAAGATTCAACTCAAGTTTCAATGTCAGTTTAATGTAATTTAAGTTGACATGACTTAAACATCCAAGTTGATTGTAGGCTACTTTAAATTAAGGCAACTTTTGTTTACAGTGATGTAGACTACGTATTATAAAGTTAGGATTAGGGTTTGGTTTAAGATTAGTTGCATGTAATTATGCATAATTTGTAGTTATTACTAGTAACTAGGCTACATAACATGCAACAATTACATAAAATAAAGTGTAACCGAAATTATTATTTGTGTCCTGCTCCCTTTAATAGTATTTGACTACAAAAAGTACAGTTTCAATGCTCGTGTTAAATCGAAATCATGGTGGCTACTTTGGTAATTCCAAGAATATTTAGCCTATGCCCAAAACTTTTTTCTATAAAAGTGTCTCACCCAGAAATTCAATTGCCCGATCGCCTAAATGCATGTCAATGGAAAAAAAATGTTAGAGAATGGCTTATGAGGAGTGATTAAGTAGGGTTAAAAACTAGATTTTTTTTTTTTTGCTCTTCCCTGTTTCCCGCTCTGTCACCGGGGCAGGAGGAAGTGTTTTGCTGGGAGATGATGACAGAGGTCAGGCTCAGCTAATGGGCCACTGAAGAGGAGAGGAGGCGAGGCACAGACCAGGAACACATACATTAATACACGAGCGCTATCACCAATCAGCATAGGTGCGCGCCCTCTCTCTCTCTCGCTCCCTCTCCCTCTTCCCCCTCTCTCTCTCTCTCACTCACTCCCACGAGCGCACATTTTTCAGTCTGGCGCAGTCTTGACATCCCATTTTATTGTCAATCTCTGTTTCCTTCGCAGGGAATTTAATTTTTCCACACAGATCAATTGGAAACTATAAAAGACAAACTGTTTGAGGACGATTTTCTTCAGAGTCTTCTCCTTATTGTAAACGAAGTATTTCAGCGCGGGTACGAAGGCTGTTGGAACTATGCCTCAAAAAGGTAAGTTAAGACATTCTTCTCTTTTGAGCAACTCGCACGCATTTGCACCGCTTAAGTGAGAATCTTGTTAAATATAGCCTACACGCCAGCTGTAAAAAGAAAAAACTGTTGGTTTGTAAATTATAATTATGAGGAGAAAACATTTGACTGGTACAAAAGTTATGTGCGTCCTTGAAAAAATAAAATAAAAACTAAAACAGAAAACTTAAAGCTGCATGCCTCGTGGTGTCAAACTAAATCATTGAGTTTCACGAACGCTCTTTGCCTTTTTGTGCTTCAGCTATGTCGAGTTTTGTGCCAAGCAAAGTTCTTATTTATGACAGAGAAAGCAAAAAGTCACAGTAGGCCAAGACCGCGATCAGTCCTGAAAATCTGAACGCAATGACCCGTTGAGGTGGCGTGTCAGGTTGAATCACACCACCACATTCAGTCGGGCGCCAGCACCAAATCGCACCGTGAACTTGGTGTTCTGCTTTTCAGTCAGGACACTGCTGCCTTCTTTGCCCAAAGACTTACTTTTAAAAAGTAGAATTACATTTAAGTCTAGACTTTAAACTTAACTGTTAAGGTTACATCATTTTCTTGTTTAGTTTGCATTAAAAAAAACGAACTGAAATATATTAGCGATATTATTATGTGTATAGCCTACGTTGACGTATAAATCAATATTAAATTCTACATGATATAAAATTAAATGCATCTGATTCTATTTTAATCGGTCAACGTATATTTTATACCCTGCATTATATAGCAGTTTTATAAATCTGTTGCGATATAAATCAGCATCGTTTCCAACTTTTGAAACTTTCACTCAAATGTAGGCTACTTTCCGCAGAATATCAAAGGCTTGCGAATAAGTGTGCTTAATTAGGAGCCTTCATGTTGCACATTAGAACGAACAAAATGCAGATTAGGCCCTGTCAATTACAGACAGCACTATTAAAACAGATCATTAACTAAAAAGATGAGTGCAGACAGAGATAGCCCACATGGGTAAGAAATACTAGCCTAAATACTTTACTTAAAAAAACAAACAAACATATATTTGCATTTTTTTAAATAATAATAATTGTTTTGATTTTCCGAATTTGTAGAAATTTGAGAAAACGTGAAATGTTAAAAAAATAGTTACAAATAATTTTAATTAAAGGGCAATATACAGTGCATTATTAAATTATAAATGTTATTTAATGAAACACGTGCAACTCAACGCTGGCAATTATATGTATTTATTTGTTGCAGTGCACTGTAAATCGCGCACACAATCCATCTACTTAAAAAGAAAAAAAAATCAAAGCAGGGACTATTTCTTCAGTGTGCCTCCTTTTCGGTAAATGTATTGAATGGGTTCTTTATTGCAATTGTCTTTTACCAATTGAGCGCCCCACTGCGCTGTTGTACATTTTTTACAGCCCTTAACGACATATACCAGTAACACAATTACCTCCAGATACTTATAACAAGAAATTACTTTTCTATTTCGCGCGACGAGACAAACAAAAAGGCATTGAGGTAACGGGCACCGGGTCATAGCGAGCTGCACTGGCTGATGCGGGTGAAGGAGGAGGAAGAGGAGGAGGGGGACTCGCTCCCTTCAGCTCTTTGTATTTTTTGAGAGTTGTTGGTACGTTTAGTTGGAAACGGTGTAGCTAGTTAGGGAGCCCGGGTTTTACTCTCTGGGTTTTGGTGTAGAGGGAGAAAGAAAGCTATTGTTAAAATTCAGCGGGGCTTTGTCGGGGACCCCTCACCCCTCCTGCCTGGCTTTACTTTTCCAGCGCAGCCAGGCGAGGTAGACAGCGTGTGTCACCAGAAGAGAGGATCTGAAGGGGAGGGGAAAAAAGTAGGCCTTGCCAACAACATCTGAAGTTTTATAGGGGAAAAGCAGATGTACATGTCGAAAATATTTTGTATAATAATTATAATAATAAAAATTATAACAAAAACAACAATAATACTACCGATTATTAAACTTAAAATAAGAAAACTTTACCAGATTAAAACGTATCTATAGCCTTATAAACACACACATTAATTAGTGTATTAGTAATAAAAACAATACCTAAAAAAATTATATTAGATTTAGTTGTAATGATAAATAAATAATTACGGCTAGGTGTACTAATAAATTGTTTTGCTTTGTCCTAGGGATATTTTAATAGAGTGAAGCAGATGCGAGTCTATAAATTGTTTTAAGCGGACAGTCAACTCTGTTTCCAGGCAAGTTTAAACCCTGGGCATAAGTGTATTTGTGGAGACAGTATTTTTTTTTTTTTTCTCTCACTTTTCTGCAGCATGAATGCAAAAATAAAATGCTGAAGCTTTAGCCCATGCACACAATATTGTCCGTAACTTTCTTGCACACAAGTCTCACAAAAAATTGCACTGCAATACACGTGATTTAAAAATGTGAAACTGACCATTATTATTGTTTCTTTATGACTAATAGAATACTATAACCGGGCCACGTGGGAGTCTGGCGTCGCGTCCATGATGCAAAACAGTAAGTGGAGTTCTTTTCTTTTTCTGAAATGCGTTTTTGTCTATTAAATATAAAGGTGAGCGAAAAAATAAACACGAGAAAAAACGTGAGAGGCATCCAGCCAGAAAGGCATTTGTTTTGGTATATTAGTGAAGGCAGTTTACACTGTTCGTCAGGAGTGTTGGGCGCGTGCATGCTGCCAATATTTTTTCCTGTCATTCATACAGCTCCCTCAAAGTAGCTGAGCACTAAGTTAAACTACTATTTTACAGTTTTATGAAACTTTATTCCATTATTTCAATTCGTACGGCTACATTTGAGAGAGCAATAATTACATTAACAGTGAGAAATTTCCTGAATTAAAAAAAAGTCACATAGAAGCTTGCATAGCTACACAACCTAGTTAGAGTGTCTAACCCATATGTTCTTTGCATAATTGTGTGTGTGTGTATTAGAGAGAGAGAGGATGTTTCTGCTTGACTTGCTTTTAAATAATTGCTGAATTAATGTTAGCATCGGCGGCCAATCCACCTAGTCCATTAACAGAGACGAAATTGACATTGCATGATTCTGATGGAACGTCTCTCATGTTTATGAAACACCGCGAGAGTGAAATAATAGACTGAGCTTTGATGCAGCATTGAATGTTGTAGAGCATGAATAAATTACATGCGCTTATGTGTCTGTCTTTGAGATGTGTGAAAGCCAACTAGCAAAACATATACTTAGTCATTTTTAGAAAGCACTGAGTAAGTTATGATTACAATAAATGAGACATATTTTCTCTCTTAATGCTGGACAAGAGGTGTATGACATCTGTAACGAAGGTGTGTTGAATGTCATCCTCTCATTTCTATTCCTTTTTATTGTTGTAAGTGCCAGTTATTTGCTCTGTCCTCATGTACTGATTTAGTCACAAATTTTGACGTCCATAGAAAAGATTATGTATTTTGGAAGGTGCAAAAATTTGGAGTAACGAAGCGTTTCAAATTAGGTCAGCAGAAGTAGAGCACATTAAACAATATGAGCGATACATAAATAAAAAAATCATATCCCCACACTTTAAAATATAATAAAATTACTAAATATTACGCGGTGTAAAAAAATGTTCCCCTACAAACTTTACATATTTTTTTTTCTCTCAAGGATAATCAGTAATGTTGCCGTGCGATTTCTCGCGTGTATTAATAAAAAGATATCATTCGGGTTAGGCCTTTGGTTTGTTTAAAGGTCACAGGCGGCAACCCAAGCTTTGTGCTAATAACTCTTGGGTGTATATAGAGTGGAGCGTCCAAATTGACACCATATGTCTTCTTATTAATTGATTAGAAACAGAGTACCGCGGGCGCAATGATTGCCACTGGGCGAGACCCACACCATTCACCGTGGGGAATTATAGAACGATTAAGACTTAACCTTTCAAGCGAAAGTTTTGATTTTATATCCTAATCTGCGTGTTGGCCAGCTCAAAACAAGTGGATGCATTTAAGAGCCATACGGCATATGGTTTCAAAGCCAATAAATCCTCAATGCGTCTATTACCGGACAGAAAAAGACTGTTTTTCATTCTGCATTTTTTTATGGTAAAAGTACTAGACATATCAGCAGAAGTAGTTCTCAGGTAGAATAAACCATAAAGCACGTCGTTATCTTCGTAATGCGTTATAAAAATAAAACACTCCTGCATAACACAGATTTTATATTTCGCTCTGCATATTTACGCATAAACCTACATATCAAAACAGCATCCCGCAAATTTGCTCCCAGTGCTTAAATATAGGCAATGGCGGTTTGTCACTTGGGGAAAAAAAGAAATGTCACTTTTAATATATTAAGGGCGAGGCGCGCCCCCGTGAACGTACACGCGCACAGCCCCTGGCTACCTTAAAATTAAGCTTCCCTTAAAGGGGAAATGAGTAGAGTCCAATTTAGTCTGAGTGATATCCAAATGCAGACAGAAAGGGTCGTTTTATCATGCTACTATTTGTCGTGACGATGCGATTTTCAAAAGCAGAGCGATGTCATAAAGTGACATGCCTGCCACAAGTGCTCCAACTGATCTTTTCAATTAGCCTTCCATGCATGATCCAGGGCGACTTCCGCCTATTTCCAGAAATTAAGCTCAAACTTGACATGCAGCTAGCTTTATTTTAAAGACAAATGTCAGGCAGGCTCATCATATTTTCCCCCTCTTCTATATTTGGAGCTTATTTATTGCAAAGGAGCTTGTGCTCTTGGACTCAATTTAACGCGAGCCTTCGGAGGGAAGGGAGCTGAGAAGTAAAGCAAACCGGGAAGGCTGCTTTTCCGTTTTGGCTTCAGGTTTGGTGCCTTTGGTCTGCTTTTTGGAAGCTTTAGTAACATAAGCCAATTGCTTACGTGGGAAATGCTGTGCATTGCTTGATGCTTTTTTTCTTCAGTTTTCTTAAAAAAAGTTGTTTTACTTAATGTGTGGGGCTATGCTTTAAACCATTGCAGCGTTTAAGAAGTTTTAGTGTAATGCCACAAATAGCATTACGCCATCTGATCCGTTTAAGGCATTGCAAAGATGCGCAAATCTCGGCTCAGTGGGTTGGAGATGTTTTGCTCCAGATCGTACGAGAGCGCTGACGCTTAATCAATGTTCTGCATGTGTAATTATATTACAATTGTGTATTAGGAGATTATGATATTATAGGAGCACATCTGGAGAACAGTCTAAAACATATGACAGCTGAACAACAGCAATAATTACCGGCTATGCTGATTTAAAAGCGATTTACACTTGTCTCTGCTGAATATTGAGATTTGTTGACAATGCTCTTGTAATGCTTGACTCATTTTAGACAATTGCGACCTGGAAGCTTCTATTAATAAAACAGCTGTGATTGGATTCTGTTTGAATAGAGTCTGGTTTGCTAAATGCTGGGTGAATTACAAGCTTTTTCCTTTTTTAGGTCACAGTGGAGTGAACCAGCTCGGCGGTGTATTCGTCAACGGCAGACCGCTGCCCGACTCCACGAGACAGAAAATAGTTGAACTCGCTCACAGTGGCGCGCGGCCGTGTGACATATCCCGTATTCTGCAGGTGATGATAAGGAATTTTCCATTCATATTAACTATTCACCAAAACAATTGTAATAACTTAAAAGTAGTTTTGTTTCATATTTGTGCTGTTTCATACTGCTTTTCCCCAGCTGCATAGCATTTTTTTTAAATAAACCTTTGCATTATTAATGCCAGCGAGCAACGAGGATTCATTTCAAATTTCATTTTGGAATGCATAAACAGTGGTCTTGTGGAATGGATCGAGGCACTTCTCATCTTTTTTCCATTTGGCAATTTTTAAAATTTGGCGAGCGAAATGCATTTTTAAAAAGTGCATCATTTCTCGTACCACTGAAGACATATTTTTTGTGTTAAAGGTATTTCTTGTGTTATAGACCCATGCTGATGCAAAAGTCCAAGTGCTGGACAATGAAAACGTAAGCTTATCATTGCTTGCAGCATACACTTAACATTTCACGCTAGTTTTAAATAATGTATGTGAATTGTTTCTTTTGTTTTCCATCTAGGTGTCGAACGGCTGTGTGAGCAAAATCTTGGGTAGATACTATGAAACTGGCTCCATCAGACCCCGGGCGATCGGAGGAAGTAAACCACGAGTAGCGACTCCAGAGGTGGTCGGCAAAATTGCCCAGTACAAGAGGGAGTGTCCGTCAATCTTCGCGTGGGAAATCCGAGACAGGCTGCTATCAGACGGGGTCTGCACAAACGATAATATACCCAGTGTAAGTTCATTCAGAGAAGTTGCCATGCATTCATTAACAACATCATGAGTTAATGCGTAATAATTTGATGCGTTGCTTAAATGCATGCACTAATGACCTTGAACGTGAACATTCTCCAACTTCGGTCATCCCCGGCCACTGCTGTAATCTCCTCTCCACTAGAGGACAATGCAATGCGATGTAATGCTCTGGCATGTAGGCCTGTGTAGAAATGGGGCCAATCGTTTCCAAAGCCAAGATGCCACATCGTGGACGCGCTCTTTAATTAATGTGCCGCATCTTTGGGTTCGTCTTTCAGGTGTCATCGATAAACAGAGTACTGCGCAACCTGGCTAGCGAAAAGCAACAGATGGGCGCAGATGGCATGTATGAAAAGCTGAGGATGCTGAACGGTCAGACCGGCACGTGGGGGACCCGGCCGGGCTGGTACCCCGGAACTTCAGTGCCAGGACAGCCCAATCAAGGTATGGCTATATTACTTTCCATAGAGGAAGATTGTGCAAAAGGGGGCATTGCTTTCGTTGCTTGTTATTTTGCGATCTGGATTCAATTCACATTTATTTGTATAGCGCTTATATTGTTTCAAAGAAGATTTACAGAAAATGCATGCAATTTAGAGAGAACTGTTACCAGAGGTGGCTGTGTCCAAGAAATGCATTTCAGAAACGTGCATGTGCAAATCACACAGTTATAGCTAACAATGTATAGCTTAAGGCATAAACAATGCTCTCATTAAAGTAAAGTAACAATATGGAAAGTTTGGCATTGGTGCATGATTCAGAGTAATTCCTGATGAATTATTATCTAAAAAGGTAAAACAATTAGGCTACAGTAATAATAAACAATCCTTTTAGTTTTTAAATTCCATATAGTTAGATGATTGTTATATATAAATGTATATAAATGCTAATTATATGTTGCACGGGGCTTAAATTACTGTCATAATTAATAATTAAATACCTTGAATTATTCAATTATATGCCATAAAGACAGGCTAATATACAAATTACGAATAGTAGCCTAATTCGAGTTGCAATCCATAGCCTATTCACAGTTCATAAGAAAGAGACAAATAAACATGGAACCATGTGTGGATTCCCTGTGCAAAATATGTTTCTGTCACACAGAAAAATGTGTTATGAGAACAGTTCTGTCGCTATGTAATAGCTCATTAGAGAACGTTTTGTTTCCCATTAAGGCGACTTAAATACGTGTTTAGTTCGAGGAGACAGCTGTGGAAATGTTTCACCGGAGACACCCTGGACATGATATGGCAACGTTTGCCAATTAGAGTTGTTAGTGTTAAAGGCGCTTCTCAACGAAAGACAGACGTAAAAATATAGAGAATTAATGTCTGTATAAGCCTAACATCGGTGTGTCAAATCATTGACCGGTTGCAGCAACTTTTTTTGGGCTTTGCCAAGGAGAGTAGCATATCTTAATTCTGGTTCACAAGAGCAAAACCACGTTAAAACCTATAATATTTAACATGTGGGAAAAATCTAGCCTACTAAAACGATAGCTACAAGATACTGGACTAATTTGATTTCGCCTGACATGCTAACAAGTAGCATACATTCATTTTATAGGCTAGCTCTGCATATTTAATACGGTTTATTGTCATGTGGCCTCGTATGCCAGACGAACACGATAAAAAGATAACATAGGCTACACGCTAGATAACATGCTTATTTGATTTAATAAATTGCTTATTTTTTATTTTATTTTATCAATAATCAAGCGTCTAATTTATGATCTATGACAAACTAAAACCTGTGCGCTTAAAATATAATAAAAGCCATCACTATCTGTGTTGGGCTATTTTTTGGCTTTTATTCTACTGATATCGATCCTCTCTTATATAGCTGTCATAGACAACATTAGTCTGGGTGAGGTTTCTGAGCGAGAGAAATATGGTCGCAATCTGATGAATGTCACGCAACACTGAATAAAATCGCGGATTCATCTGGGGTGACAGGACGCTAAAAGAGACAACTCTATCGCATTCGGAGGAACAGCCCCTCCCTCCGCCATAGGACCGGGCTACTAAAGCCGTCTAAAGGATTTGGACACTTTTTCTTTTCCAAGGGTCCTCGCATGTTTTGATCAAGGCCTCCACAGCTGAAAGATGCCGCGGTTGTTTTGGCACATTTTTGCTTGCCTTCCGCCTCACCGGTTACGACAACGCCCCAATAAGGAATGATTTTATTTCCCACCGCCTTTCTCAGAGAAAACAAATCCTAAATCTGGCGACAGTTGGTCAAGCTTTTGAGAACAGGCCACACATTCGGATTAGCTCTTGAAAAGTGTGAATACTACACACAAAGACCTTTTAAAACTTTTTTTCTTTGATGAATAAATTACTTTGAGAAGAAAAGTGACAATGTTAAACTTACATCATAAGAAGAAAAATATTTTATATTATTTGTTACCGTTTAGCCTGAGCTTCACTGTAAAAATATCAGTTGCCTAAAAATGGCCGAGTTATAAACCATACATTATTGAGAAAAAAAGTTATGTGAACTACAATTCCACATAAATTATGTGGAAAATTGACTTTTTAAGTTAAGTCTATGCTACTTAATTTTTAGGCAAAGGGTTTCCTCACTTTTTTAAGTTAAGGCAACTGATCACTTTTTACAGTGACATACTATGAGCTTAATTAAAAAAATATATATTGTTACTCAGTTCATCACCTCTAGAAAAAAAATACCTAAATAATTTACTGACATTACTGTAGCCTATATATATTTAAAATATTGTCAGGCAGATTGTTTTTTCTATTATAGTTTACATGTCCTGTGAACATTGCTTATTAAATTCATAAAATACCTTTTAAATATTATTCATTCTGGATGCTGGAAGTTTGGCCTGTGGCCACGTGACTATTTAAACCACCACCCATGTAAAAGTCCATTCAGTCTGGAGTTTCATTTACATTAGACAATTGTGTATAAAATATCGATCAGTTTCTTTAGGCTTTTCAAACTCAAATATTTTGCCTCAAATGTATCTGGCAGGCTTAATTAGGCATTGGTGTTCAACAACACAGCAGGGTTAAAGCTTATCGACTCACAACTGGCACTCCTATCCCCTTGTCTGTGACAAACAAGAGCCTTCGCATTTCGATGTCTCATTCACGGTGGCCTGGCTGTTTTCTCCCTGCGCTTATAAGTAGGTATAAATCCTAACCGGGGTTGAACGGGCCGGCCCTAGGGACAGTGATTAATGACAGTAGAGCATAAAGGTTAACACGCCGAGCTGAAAAGTCTGTTGACTGGAATCCTCGTGCTACAATGACTGCTCGAGAGAATCCTTTTGTCGCCCGGTCCAATTGTGTCCTCAAAATTCAACCCACGAAAGTTTGCCATCCGTCCTCACAGCGAGTATTTAAGAGTTACCCTACTCTCCCGCATTGTGTGACTGTGAAAGCATCCCTCTCCTATTCAAGTATTGGTGGTCACCTCAATAGCTCTGCAAACGCCCATATGGTGGCCGTGGCTTAATTGAAGAACTCTGGGATGAAAAGGGGGGAGAGGGAGTTTGGTTTTTAAAAACATTTGAAAAGATTTCTGGGACATTTTATCGCATTTCTGTAGAGCCCTCGAGCTCGTCAGCCTTTGTGACTCGATGCTGAAAGATCTAAGCGAGCGTGCTCGAAATGTTTTCCCACAACATTGCAGAGGGCGATGCCACTAATTTTGCGCCACATTGTCCCTACATAAATATGACAAGCAAACTCTAATATACAAATGAACTGAAAATGAGAATCATGTTTTTTAAAACGTAGAATTATCTTACATTTTATATTTGCTTTCCAGATGGCTGCCAACAGTCAGACGGTGGTGGTGAGAACACAAACTCAATAAGCTCCAACGGGGAAGACTCGGATGAAACACAGATGAGGCTTCAGCTAAAACGAAAACTGCAAAGGAACCGCACATCTTTCACACAAGAACAAATAGAAGCACTTGAAAAGGGTAAACATTGAGATTATTACTATTAAAACATCTAGCGAAGACCAAACAACAGAATCACACTTCATTTCGAAATACTTTAGAACTTTTATTTGTTGGATTTAAAGATAGCTAAATTACTTTGCATTATATAACATCATTTTTTAATGTTTCCACCAGAATTTGAGAGAACGCACTATCCTGACGTGTTTGCGCGAGAGAGACTTGCTGCGAAAATAGACTTACCAGAAGCAAGAATACAGGTGAGCGAAAACACTACAATTTACAAAAACAGAATGAAGGTAAAATGGGACACTTTCTAACACATTTTAATCGCCCTAGTTTTTAAATATTATCATAAATAGCTGCTCAAATGATATCACTTTTTGACAATATCACAGTTTTGTGGCTTTAAGCACTTCAAATTTAGTCTCACTCTTCTAAAATATTGATGACTCATGCTGCACTACACAGATGTCCAATCCGATCACACGATAAACGATTTTGATAAATCGTACATATTTTACGAATTGGCCAATTTGTATAAATTCGTACGAATGACCTACCCCTTACCCCGCCCCTAAACCTAACCATCACGCGGGTTTAGACAAATCGTACGAATTCGTACGAGTGAGGTCGTACAAATTAACCACTTTTTAATCACTCGTACGAATTTTTCCGAATTTTGGTAGAGATGTCCAATCAAATGTTGTCTTCACTGAGAACGTACCACCCCCTAAAGTTACCTTCAACGGATTATCAATATATATATATCCTCTACACTGCAGAAAGAAAATATTATTAAATACTAAACGTCAGTCTTCATCCTGCTAGATACTAATTGTTGTATGTTGTTTTAAAAGTCTTTGAAAACTAACTAAAGCATGTCCATCCAGGTGTGGTTCTCAAACAGAAGAGCAAAATGGAGGAGAGAAGAAAAGTTAAGAAATCAAAGACGACAGGCCAGCAACTCTTCGAGTCACATACCCATCAGTAGCAGCTTCAGCACTAGCGTTTATCAGCCAATCCCTCAGCCCACAACACCAGGTAAACACCCTAAAATGTCTCAAAATATGGTTGGTGCATGATGCTCATAAGCAAACCCTACTGAAATTTTACAAGAAACTACGTTTTTGGACTTTTTGGAAAAAAACAACAACAACAACAACAACAACATCTTTTTACGTTTTAAACAGTATCCTTCACATCGGGCTCCATGTTGGGAAGACCAGACACGGCCCTTACGAACACATACAGCGCTCTGCCACCAATGCCAAGCTTCACCATGGCCAACAACCTTCCTATGCAAGTATGTCAGTTCAGTGCTTCACGCTGTACTATATTGTTCTGCACTGTTGTGCCTACCTCAATGTTTCAAAGGATTAGTAATTCGATATTTCCGCACGCTGTAAATCTAATGCAACTACAGCATACAGGTCTGTAAGGCCGTTTATATCAGATGTGTGTGTTGCTGACTGGTTTGCCTCTCTTCCCCCCCTCCACAGCCAAGCCAGACCTCATCATACTCATGCATGTTGCCCACTAGTCCTTCGGTGAATGGGCGGAGCTATGACACATACACACCACCGCACATGCAGGCACATATGAACAGCCAATCAATGGCCACCTCAGGCACAACCTCAACGGGTAAGCGTTTACTCTTCTACCAAAGCAAAAAACTTAAATACAAATATTATAAAATTTTGATGGATAATTTTTTTTTTAAAGAAATGCTCTTAAGTTACATAATCCTAAATATTTCCTTAATGTTTGTCATGCTACAGGTCTAATCTCGCCTGGGGTGTCTGTACCAGTCCAAGTGCCAGGCAGTGAAGCAGACATGTCCCAATACTGGCCCAGACTACAGTGAGAACAAGACACACGAGAACAAAAAAAAGAAAACAGAGGAGAGGATAAAAGAGAGGAGCTCCTTCATCTCCTGACGTCTCTCGGCTTCAAGGCAGGGCTGTTCAGCAGTATTTTACTATGGAATGAAAAGGGGAGACTCTAAAGGACCTTTTTGTACTGGGATGGTGCCATGTCTCTATCATTCTTTGGACACAAAGACTTGAAGAATAAAAGAGAACAGACTTCTGTAAAGTGCCCGGTATTATATCGTAAAATGGAAAAAAAAAATCTCTGTTTTTCAGTTTCCAACTTAAGTAATTTTGATGTATTTGTACATGTAATGGCCAATTGTATGTTATGACAAAAAAAGGAGAAAAAAAAAATTAACAACCGTGGATGGACTGTCAAACTAAGTTGGTCTTGCATCGGTGAGTGGAAGAACATTTGTGCTGGCTTATTCATCAATCTTTTTTCACCATCAGCTGATATCAAGAACTTCTGCCCATTTCTGTTTCAAATGTGGACCTGTAGGAACAAACAATCTCTGTATCATTTCAAGACAAAAACAGCAACAGAGTTCAAAGGAAGCCAATCCAGAATTTGTTTTCCAAAGCTTGCGGACACAAGCAAGCTGTTGAACAGGGTTGACTGCTGGACTGGAAGAGGAAAATGTTTGGTAGCTTAAAACGGTAGATTGTGTCTTCGATGTAATTCAGTTTTGTTTGTCAAAATATAAGTATTTGTCTTCCCTAGAAGTCTCGCAGAACAATTTCTATAATAAAAATAATTTCATTTTATAATTCTCTGAATATTCAATATTTACAGTACATGCTTTACATGCAACATTTAGCCAAAAATAAGAATGGCGTATCAGTTATTACACTCGTCAGCATATGCATTATGTTGTCCTTTTTCATGATAAAATCAATGATCGATCATTTAATATCCAATCTCATACAACTACTTGAACAACTAATAATTGATTCAGTCATTTTTAAATGTTAATCTGAAACCGAAAAATATTTAAACACTTAATTCAAAAATGACTAAATTGGCAATTTCAGCTTATTTATCAAAAACATGATTGAACATATATTGGTAACACTTTACAATTCTCGTTTGTTAGTTAATGCATTAGCTATTGAACTAAGCATTTTTTAAAGCATTTATTAATCTTTGATAACATTGGTTAGTAAAAATCTAAAGTAAAAGTTCATTGTTCATTTTGGTTCACAGTGCATTAACAAAAGTTAACAAATTCAACTTTGGACTTTAAAGGTGTATTAGCAAATGTTGAAATTAACATTAATAAATGCTGTAGAAGTGGTGTTTATTAAAGGGTTAAACTGATGAAATAAAATAAAATAAAATATAAATGTTGAAAAACAAACAAACCAAAAAAAAACCTGGTAATAAACTGAAATTAGTATTACAATTATTAACTAAAAAAAAAACCTAAAACTAAAATATAAAAAAGCTAATTATATAATATATGTTATATTATATTTATATTATATTATATTTTATATTATATATAAACATTACAAATATTAACTGAAAAAAAAAACTAAAACTAAAATATAAATTTAAAAAAGCTAATTCAAAATAATAACAAAAGTATAACAAAACAAAAATGACACTGGTTCAGGGTTAGTTTTCATGTTAAAGGAAACATTGTAAAAGTGTTACGGATAAAAAAAAAGCAAACAAAAAGAACTCAAGCAACTGTTTACTCTAAAGAAGAAATGAAAAACAATGCATTTATCTTACCAGTGAGTGAAATGATTGCAGGGTAAAATATGTAATTTTGCCCCCTCGGTAGACTCAGCAGGGAGGGAAATGTAGAGATGAATCCTTACAGGTATGTGTGACAGCGATTGGCCTGTTCGTCACGTACAGAAAATAAAACGAAAACTAGGTACAGTAACACAGACATAGACAAAATGATACAGTAGTCTGGAAAATGTATATAATTTGTGTATAACTGCCCTATATAGGTGAATATAATATAACTCATTTGAAATGTCAATCACCTACACGACAGCGATGTACTAAAAATGGAAACATTTTTGCTTTGCGTTTTCAGGTACATATGAACATTGTCAGAGCGATTAACAACGTTGTATTATGATGCCAGACCAGTAGTTGGCGATGTCAGTTTGTAAAAATGTGCTATATAGACTGAACACATAATACACCTGCATATGACATTACCGTTTTCACAAATTCATGTTACTGTAGTCTACATGGAGACAATAACGGTATCGTTTTCAAAAACGTGCACTTTTAAACCCTTTTTAAAAAGTTTGCTATTTCAGGCCCCCAAAACGCAGCCAAAACACTTAAAATTTTTACGTTTTTACTTGAAAACAGTGTTGTGTAAATGTATGCGTATTAATGTGTTTGGTCTACTGGAGCGTAGTTTCTTTACAAAGTGACATCATCGACTACTGGCATGACAGCGTTTTTGTGTTAATAGTTAATAGTGTGAACAGGAATCGTTCTGATAATGTTGTCTGTAGCTACGTGAAAAAAAAAAGAAAACAACAACTTTTTCCATTTTTAGTACATCGTGTAAACATACCCTTAGAGTATCAATGGAATTAGCAAGATCTGAGTGGAAGTTAGGATCAAATTTGTGTTGATGTCAAAGGCAGCAAAAAGAAGAGAGCTACACTTTGAGCTGAGGGTTTATGAATACAGGATGACACTGTTAACATTAGCATAAAAGGAACTATCAACATTAATTGTAGGAAATGTAGTTTTTCTGATATAATATGGTGAGAGTTTGAGCAGGAGTGGATGAATGAAACATCTATGAATTCTATTGTCTTTTTGTTTTACAATATATATTGTTAATATATATTGTAAGCAGCTTCGAACAATATATATTAACAGTCTGAGCTGTTGCAAAATTTCAAGTTGGATGCTATATTGATTAAAATCAAACACAATCCAGGAAATTTTGGCTTGATTACTTAATAGAGTATGTGGAAGTTGATCAGGACTGTAAAATAGTGTAGAATTCAAATTATAAAAATAAATTGTAAAAAGAATGTTAAATGACCACAAACTGTAGTACCAAGTCATTTTGTCGGGACTTTTTTGTCCCCATGAGTAAAACGGCGTATGAATCATACAGAATTATGTTTTTTGAAAATGTTTTTTTGGTTTTCTGTGAGGGTTGTGTTTAGTGTTAGGGTAATATAGTTTGTACAGTATAAAAATCATTATGTCTATGGAAATGTATTTTTTGAAACTAATATCCAGAGAATGCATCAGTGCCAAACAATAACCAAACAACCTCAAAAACAAGTTTGTTGCACATATATATCCTACTCTCTCTTTTTTAAGCATAACAAAAGTTAACCAAAGCCATTCATGTATGAAAGTTGGTCAGAAACAGGCTTGTCGGGGTGTTTTCACACCACTAAGCACAATGCAAAGGAGACTTGTGATGGGATGCGTGTTCAGCCTGCAGCAATCACGGTTAACCCGCTTCGAAATGGAAACCCCAGATATGTCTGTTCCATGTACATGGTTGTGAGAATTTGAGTTGATTTGGTTGTATGTTTAGTCACAAGAGGACTTCAGAGGTGGAGGATACCTCTGATCCAAAGTGAGGCAAAACTTTACCCTCTCCTGCTAAGAAATGCCAATGGATTTCTTGAGAAAAGGCCATTAAGGTTTGGAGACGTGACTTAGTGGTTTGCGCACATGGCCATGAGCTGTGTTGCTCATTTGGAAACACAAGTTCAAGTCTACAGCTTGTGACATTTCCTGATCTCACTTCCCCTTTCTCTCCCCAGTGTAGTTTCAATGAAGTGGCAAAAAGCTAATGGCCACCAAAGCACTTTACATATTGCCTCGCATTCACCCATTCACTCACTTTTCATACACTGACGGCGGTGTCAGCCATGCAAGGTGCCATCCAGCTCGTCGGGAGCCGCCGGGGTTAGGTGTCTTGCTCACGGACACCTCGACACTTGTTCAGGTGGAACCGGGGATTGAACCACCAACCTTCCGGTTCGTAGACAACCTACATGAACCACTGCTGTCCGACAAAACAAACAAAACAAAAAATTGCTATTAAAACAAAATATTTAAAATAAAAAAAAATCATCAAGATAATATTTGATAATTAATTGAATAATGTTTTAAAAATAGTATATATTAATCAAAATGAATTAAACAATAATAATAGAATAAATTAAATTAAATGAATACTAATTTTAGAAATTTTTAAATAATTACAATATAATAAAATATTTCAAATAAAATACATTAATTGAATACAATCTATAAAAAGTGTAAAATAAAAATAATTAAATATAATAATGTATATTAACAAAAAATATTAAATAATATTTTATATTAATCAAACCATAATAACAATAAATAAATAAATAAATAATCATTTTATGTTATGGTTATTTTATATACTGAAATTATAAGATGTTATTATATTTAAAATAAAGTACATCAACACACACACACACACACACACATAATACTAATCTATAAGAATCAACATCTATAATAATATTAACAATAATAATAATAATAATAATGAGTACTAATTTTTTTACAAGATGTTTTATGTACAAAATTTTTAAGATATGTTATATTTAAATAATAAATGGATAAAATAAAATGATGATATAAATGATATATATATATATATATATATATATATATATATAAAGAATAATACACATTAATAAAATCAAATAATAAGAAAATAAAACGTATTATTATGATTTTCCACTAAATAAGAAGAAAGCTGAATATTGCATAATACATCTGTAGTAAAGCAATCTATTATTATTATAGGGTGTTTATGTGCTAATCGAGTGTGTCTGGGAGGTTTGAAGCACAGGCCTTGTTTGCATGAAGCAGTTTAAAGAGGAGCAGAGGAAACCCAGGTGCTTCTCACTGCCCCCCATCTCAACCCCATCACTTACTGAATTATGCCAAAGCCTGTTCGCTCAAATGCCAGGCTGTTTCTGACAAGTCTACAGACCAAAGCTGAAAGAGAGAGAGAGGATGAGAAGTGAGAAGGCAAAAAGACCAATGAAAGGCTGGAGAGAGGGAGATGTTTGGTCCCTTTTCCGCAATTGAGGAGCATTTAAATATGACAGGACACAATTATGCTTTGCTCTGTTGTTGGCTGCAGATGCATGCGCTGTGTTATAATTTTACTCCGAGCATCTCTCTGAAGGGTCTCTGCACAGCAGACCCCTACAATAGAGTTAATGCAGCTGTGTTTGAAATGATAAACACAAAGGAAACAAGGCGAAAAGACAAAGCCGCAAAAAAAACAACAACAAAAAAACGGTAAAAACAACCAGTGAACAAACTGTCTGTAAGACTGTACTGTATCTGCAAGTAGATAACAAAATAACTAGGTAAAACTATTTTTATGTATACATGTCGTAACACACAGAAATAGACACATACATTTAGATAAGCACATATACAGTACAAACATACATACACACACATATATATTTACTATGTATACATTAAATGTAGCCTATTATAAATAAATTCATTATTTAAATAATACATTTAAATAGGCAATGTATAAATTGTAAATATCTCTTTGTGTGTGTGTATATGCATGTGTATTTTAATCGGAAAACTTGAATTAGAACCATCTTTAAATAATAATGATATCCCATTTTATATAAAGAGTCTGGATTAGGGCTACAGTATATCTGAGTTATCCTTTGTGCATGCTTGAAAAAAGATAGATAACGAGAGAAAGAATGAAATAAATGAAAAAAATCTATGAAAT